TGCACACTTTTCACTGTATTCAAGTCATATAGTGCGTCGCTTCCAGGGGATGCTCTAGCTTTTACACATTGAACAAAAGGAGAACCAAAAATCAAAAGTTTTTAGAACTAAAACAAATTTAAAGTTTTGCCTTCAATATATCATTTCCAATTGAAAACATGATTATTCGGTCCAACTTCAAGTAATGAGAACCAAAACTTGGCTTTATATACCAAATTTTTACTCTAAGAACTGTTTTATGAAATAAATGAATAAATCATGAAAAATACATTCTTTCAATCTTCAGAAATGGTAACATAGTTAATTGTTTATCCCTGTGCTTAGAAGTGTCTTCAGATCTAAAATCGTCATAATGACCTGTAATAAACAATAAAAATGGGAACAAAATAGTTTAAAAGCATCCATACCAACATTGATTTTATTTTAAGATTAATGAAATACATGAACAATCAATCAACTCTTATATTACACTCATCTCAAAATAAATCTAACATACAAAAAATTCATCTTAAAATCCTTACCCAAATTTTCTCTTATTAAAACCAAATAATCATGAAAACTTGAAAAAAATGCAAACATCTGATCAAAATTCAAGTTCAGCGAACCTCTGTTGCACATTTTTTACCGTTTCTCTCAATGATTATGTCATCAGCAAGAGAATCAACATCATTTCTCCAGTTGTACATGCAGAACAACTGCATCTACTGAGCATTCTCATCATCATTCTAATTGGCTTCATCCCCGCTATTTTAGGCTAACACTATGATTTCTCAATTTCTATTACTTCTTGTTGGGTATTGCATAAGTGCAAAATCTATTCCTTAAAGAGCATTTTACACAATTTCTATCCATACTACCATAGATCCAGTCTTGTTGCACTCTAATCCTTAAATATTTGTTTTATCCATGATGCATTTTCCACCCACACATACAATACTCGCACCGTAATGTAATTAATTCAATGGTATATCATTCATAAATTTATTTGCTAGAAATGCTATATCAAAAAGCATGCCACAATCCATGTGAATTAAGAAAATGATTGAAAATAACAAAAATGAAATGAGGAAGAGTTCAACTTCGTCAAGCTCAAAGATTGTAATTAATTTAGTTATTGGCTTTGAAATTATTTCCAATCCCCTTTTATTGAATCAAGAAAAGTTTTCTATACTGAAGAAAGTTTCCTAGGAATGTTGAACTTCTCAAAGTGAGTTAAGCTTCTAATTGTTTAATATAGTAGTGGATTTAAACTTCTAGTTGTTGAAATTAGGAAGTAGGTTCCTATTCAGATAACAAATTTAAATCTCCAATTATTTAAATACCATCCATAATTTGAATTCAAAGAGCTCTATTTGTTTAAGAAATATGGCAGCATGCTGATTATCATTAGATCCCCAAATAATGCAGCCAAAAGTAGCTTAATCGTCAATATTTTGCAATTTCATTGGAGGCGTGAATGGAAAGCCTGCGACATCACACATACCAACCAACACCATGTGTGGTCGTTCGACCACCAGCAACTAAACTCAGACTAAAATAAGATAAAATATTAGAAAAGAAATAAGAGAATCGTTATAGCAGGTTAAGAGGACTGATTCTTCTTTTACTTGATACGGACGGTTAAGAAACAAAGAAACAAAAAAACAAAAAAAAGCGAAGGCTGCTATGAATCAAAGGGTTTAAGTGTTGGAATAAATTCAAGCACAGATAGTCATCACTTACATAAAATAATGCTTGTTCTGATTCAAAAGATAGATAACTGAGTGCTACTTGAGTAGAAGCCGTAGAAAGTAACGCCAACTAATTTGAGTTTTAAGGAGTCAAAATGAAACAATTCGACGTCAAAATCGGCATGGTTTTCCACGAAAATTAGTACAAACACAACATTTCTTTAATAAATCAAACAACTCAATAAGAATACAAAGATGAACACCTAAAATTCGAGAGGCAGGCGATCTCTCCCAATTCCTACAATTTGAGAGGTATGAAATCTCTCCCAGACCCTAAACCTAAGACTCACAACTCAATCTCATGCATAAACTTAACCATAGACATAACAAGCCTATTTAAAATCAACAATAATAACAATAAATGACTAAATTGCTCTTAGGCGTAGAAAAGATAAATTTGCACTTAGGCATAGAAAAGATAAATTTGTCCTTAGGCTACCAAGCCCTATACATAACAAGACTATTTATACTCAATAAAAATAAACTAAATTGCTCTTAGGTATACAAAAGACAAATTTGCCATTAGGCTAGGCACCAACGTAACACAAAACTCTCCAATACATTTCAATAGAGCATTAAATTGTTTGAAAAAGTAGAATAATGATTCTTAATTAACAAATGTTTTGACCATCTCCGTTTAACAATATCATCTATAATTTAAGCTCAAGGAGTGCCGGACTCCATGAGCGCTAATGAGGAGAACCAAGACATTTGGAATGAAAGAAAGACCAAGTAATGAGAAAGGAAATCAGGAATTGATTTTGGCGTGGAAAGTTAAGAAATTCTATATTTAAATCTAATCGTATATATTCGAAGTAGGAAGATTACTATATGTATGTACTGCATTCTAATTATGGGTGTATGGCTGTAAATATTTTTCCTTTCTTGATGGAAGTTTCCTTGTCATTGGCATAGATTAGTTTATCTGTTACTTTGTATCAAATGCTAATCTTTAAGAAAGAGCTCGTTTAACCTTCGATATTCTCTGCAATGTTATTCAGATAATAGTTTTTACCTAAATAACAATGTTCTTAATCAAACATTGTATGTTTGGTTTAATGTCATATTACTTTACAATGTAATGTTATCTAGAAATAGCAACAATGTTTTTTATTTCTTTTTTTGGTAGTCATTAATTTAATTTGTTAAACAATCTAAAATTTAAATGTCGACAAAATTGGGAAAAATCCAGATGCCATTAAAATGAGGTATTAACTTAATTTATTAATTATTATTTTAAGATGATAGAAAAAAATCAAATATTTGGCATTTGCTAATAACATTACAGTACACAATAAACATTGCAGAGGCCCAAATATCGATTTCTCATGCGCATCAAGGCCCCATGATGATAGCCCGCGCCATCTACCTAACTATTTGAAAACCAGTGACCTAAGGGGACTTCCAGTGAACCCCTCCCACCA